AGTCCGTTAACTTTACAAATCCAGAAATGTAGCCTAAATCCGACAACAAGAGCACGAAAGGACAGGACGAGTGGGCCTGGAACTCCTCCTCGCGACAATACAAAAATCCTGAATTCGTAAAACTATAAAGTACACCACACGGGGTGTGACCGGAAAACTACCAGCGACAGGCTAAAGACGATGACGAAGGGAATGGAAGCGGGAAGGTCTGCTTAGGATGCTAGGTTGTAGAGAGAAGGTCACGGTCTACGAATACGCGAATCTAATAACCCGTAAAAGAGAGACCGCAAAGTATTACGGCATGGATCGGGACACCGAGAGTAGGCTTGCGGCAGTCCGAGGCGCCAGAACTAACCTCGCGGACTACCTCGCCGGGAGCACGACGTAAGGTAGCGGAGTGTCCGGAGGCCGAGAGCGTGGGGGATTAATTCACCCCAATTGCACACTATCCACAGGGTGACGCGTCCACTAGGGTAGCCTCAGAAATAGCGAGCGTAGCCCGGAAGGGTAAGACTCTCTCCCAGAAAATGTCACGCGAGGAGAGTATTGGTCCCACCCGGAGAGCATTACCAGGGAAAGCGTAGCCCTCACCTAGAGAACGAGAAGAGCAGTGCAGAAGCATTAGAAGCCATCCAAGAACTCGCAAGAGAACTGCCAGTGGTCCGCACTGGGAGCCAGCCGAAGCGGCTGTGTCTAGTGAGTGGGCAGTGTCGGCAGCAGTGCCGATGCCTCCCATTCTCGACTACGGCTGAATGGGTTTCCGTTTGCCGGGACGTCCTGCTCTCGCCGTCACATGGATATCCCGCACAATAGCTTCTCCTGCAGCGCGCCGAATTCAAACGTCACAACTGACACCCTCGGACAACCCCTTCGAATGATCAGCCGTTAAATTCCCGCTCCATGTAACATGGAGCGCTCATGCGCCAGTATGAGTCCTAAGCTGAATGCCAAGAAGTGTCATCTAGAAACTGGAAATGTTTCTACGTGTCCCCCCTGTGCTTTTGCCTGTCTCCAGGCCTCCTAACTCCCTAAGCATTCGGGCCCCAGTCCTCACACCTTTCAGCGATTCGAAAAGTTCCCGGGGGAGGTTCGAGATAGCAAATATAAAAGGACCAAAATATCAAAAATCGGTTTAATGCGCGGGATTTGCAAAAATCCCGTTACAACTTTCTGTACGTTTTGTACTCCATTATAACGCTGGCGACGTACATCTCTGCTTGATCTTTGGAATAAGCCAAATGCAACATTGGTTGTAGAGCTCCAGGTCTTGATGTCTTTAGTAAATCCGGGATTATTATATGTATGTCTAAACCAGAGGTGGAGATATTATCCGACAATATTAGCGAGTAGCTTTCTGGTCTATGAGTCGTCGCCAATTCTAAAAGTATAATTATCTTATGCGCTATATCATGTTATATCAGGCATATGGAGTATGTTTAGAGAGCACATTCGCGATATTTTTCCCAATACGGGGCCTGTGTCCGATGTTGAATAGTACTTGGGTTTCGATAGTCTTCTTCTGAATTCTCCCTTCAAGAATCTTGAGATAATTGGGTTGTGAGATGAGTCTTTAGTGAAGATCGGCAAAGTCACTGCTCAAGCTGGGTTTGAAGAGCCATTTTATATGCCGCTCCAGCCTTATGCTTTTGTGTTAAGAACTGAATGATGCATGGACTTGTATCGTAACGATCATGAATAGCTTTATGGCATTATAGCCAACATTCTGAGAGGAGAGTTGTATTGCTGTAAAGTTGAAGGGGCAAGCGACGCAATGATAACATCAATTGCATCCGGATTTATTTTCTTCTTGAAATAAGCTTGCCTGATAACTTCGATGTTACCAGGGTAGGCTTCTGATGCAACGGATAACAAATCCCGCTGAAAAGGGAAATTAATAAATTTCTGTCTGGTTCAAATATAATTGGATCTCCTACACAAAGTTTCTTAAACAGTGGATATCACACTTGTGACTTTCTGAGTGGAACCACGATTGCTCCAAACGCATTATCTTTAATATTTTTTTATATTCTTTACAATTTGGTTTTATTTTTTATATTTTTGTAAAACTCTAGGTATCAGGGAGAATGGACGTAATCTGTAAAAGTTTTCTTCAATCCAGGAAATCGTGAAGGCGTCGATTGTAAAGACATCAATCTCCCTCCCATGAGCATTTGGCGTTGGCTCTGGAGGCGAATAAATCGATCGAAGGGTTTCCCCAGGCCTATACAATCTCTGATAATGCATTTTGTGAGAGTTCCCATTCTGTGTCCATATTTTTAGAGAACTCTATCTATCTATCTAACTATCTTGAACATCTGTGACGAAACCTTTGTGAGCAAGTAGAGCAGTTCTAGGATGTTGATGGGGTAAGTTTGTTCTTCTGACTCCCAAAACCCATGGGCCCTTTTACCGTCGCAATATGCACCCGATCCCGTGAGGAATGCATCAGAGAAAATCTCTCTTTTGTCATCAACATACCCGGGAGGAGTAATTTACGGGGTGACCTAGGTCTTTCATGTTGAAGTATTCTGATTTCAAGGATTTATTCATTTTTTTCAGATCCAAGATAACTGTATTCCACCCATCTGGTTTAAGGACCAAAAATATATTTAAAATCTATGTAAGTAAACTCATTAAGTTCTCTTTCACAGAGTGCGATGGCCCCAATGTTCAAGAGTTTGGTAATCTTCAATTGGAATCCTTCAACTTCTTTTTGACACCAGGTTTGATGTTGAGGAGGGATAACCTCAGTTACTTCAGTGTCTGAATTAATTTTAACTCCTTTAATTGTTTTTAAAATGAATTTTTCTGAAGTAATCTTCGACCATTGATCGCCGAAATATTTCAGAGGTCCTGCAGGTTTAAATACCTCTGAAGAACTGATTTCTGAGTCTCCTTCTTGGACGTCGACGTTCGTGACTCGTTGTGGGACGTCTTCGATGAATGGTTCGACTGGCTCTTCCTCTGATGGTGGCGTTGGAAGTTCTTGGGATATGATTTCGGTTTTTTGCCCGTCTCCGCTGTTGATCTCTGCGTAGATGGGTCGTTGAAGTTTCCCTGTGTGGAAGGTTCCTTAGTGGGAGGTTGAGTTTTCGTTTCCTGGCTCATGTTATTCAATAATTTTGCCTCTAATTTCTTCCCCCAACTTATCCCCGAAGAGAAAAGAATCTACCTGTGATTTCTCCAAGAGTCACGCTACTTGCTTGATCATGTTTGGTACGATACTCCGAACTACTGTTTGTCTTCTGTGAAACTCTATTAACAGTTGCGAGACATCGCAACGGTATATCAACAGTTTCGTTTGATCCAGTTTTTCCTTACCATAATCTAAAAGAATACCAATAAATAGAATACTAAAGGATCAATCATTTTTCCTAAAGCTAACCGGAAAAGTTAGCAGATGGAGAAGTATTTATCTTTCTTTAGAAAGCTATCATTCATTGAGCTGGAGACTTCCGCATTCAATTTCAGTGCCTTTAAGAAGAATTCCCCTGTCTTTGAATATTCTTCCTAAAGAGAGACCTTGGTTTCACCTTAGAGCACGAATGTGTTTTGATAAATTTCTGTACAAACCAGAAAAAAAAATTGTCTTTAGCTTCCATGCTATTATCAATTGTGAGTATTCTTATTCTGGAATGTCAACTACCGTTACGTTTCACCTCTCGTGGGAGTTCTACCGAGCTTCGAGGTAAACAAAATCTATCAGTTTATGTGTTACGTCACGTATGACTTCAAGCTTATTTTTTACCACGAGAAGACAGCGCCAGAAGAGTTGCTTACCTTCTCTCTCTGAATTCATCCTGCCGTTCGATCTTTGAGGACTCACATCATCAACCTTGTTGTTCAACTCGTCTTGTGGGCTGGATTCGTGTGAAATACTCTTTATTATTTTTCTCCAATTTTTTGAACATCTTCCGTAAGCGTGTGTCCTCTTTGTCTGGAGAAAGGCTTTTCTTCTTAGATTTACCCATCTTGGTAGGTTTCTTTGAGATCCTAATATTCATTAATATTAAGACTATTATTTTATAAATTTAATCAAATAATAAAATAAGTGGAACATTTGACATTTCCAACTAATTAACTAAGCTCTTTGTATGACACAAACACTGTAACGTGTGACGTTTTCGGGACGCAGAAATGTTATAAAGTTGGCTACTCACTGACGGCAGAACTAGCATACCGGCGGACGGGGAAAAAAAAGGACAAAATTTTTAATTTGAAACCTTAACTTCGTGGCAGTTAGTAGGCAATAATAGTGGTACTACATAATGTAATCTTGAAGGTAATCTAAGTTGAGTCAGCGCTAAGCTCTACGATACTACAGAAGGGAAATGTCTAAACGCTGGTTATTTCTAGTTATTTTTATATCACTGGAGGACAAACGTCATTGCAACCATCAGTTGTAACGGTTGACATGACACGACCCTTTTCTACCAAGCTACAGGCAATAAAGATACATAGAATTAATAATAGGGTCTCACTCAATTCATAGCCTACATAGTTAACTTTTTTAAATTCAGTGGTGAAGCTTATGGAATAAGACGAATAAAATAATTGATATTATGGTTACTTAATATGCTATCTATTTCCGGCAATTCGCGTAAATGCCGAGAAACTTTGATGAAAAAAAGATATGGGATATTCAATTTTTTTTCGTTTTTTCAATGATTACAGTTTGTATATCATCACATTTCCGGTAAAGAAGAAGTTTATAACACTTCACATCTTAAAATGTTCATTTAGCAAATATAAATCTATTGGCTGAAAATTACCATAATTTACTTTGTCTCCATAAATATTATTTCGAATGATATATTAAAAATAAGAATACTATGTATGAAAGAAAATTTATGCTAACGAGGATTCATATCAATTTCTCTCCATTGGGGTTTTGCTTATAGTTCAGTGGTAATACTTACATTCATAGCACATTTATGTTATTATTTACTATATCTCTAAAAAATGACCGTTTTATTTATCTTGAACGTGGTCTTTTTCAGACTGGAGTATATTCGAATACAGTGGTATTGCAGCATCACTCAGTCGTAATGACAAAGGCCGATAAGATATACAAAGTTAAATGTACTTACGATATGTCTTCAAAGAACATTACTTTCGGAATGATGCCCATCAGAGATCCCGATATGATCAGCATTACCAGTGCACCAGAAGCACCACCGCCAAGGATTCGAATTCTCGATAACCGGGCGCGGGAGGTTGAAACCGTGAGGATCGGTGATAAGCTAACTTTCCGAATTGAAATCCCAGAGGACAGTGAGTTTTTCCTCCTTTTTTCGTTTCGCAAAACTTTATATTTTAGAGGAGAGTTTAATGTACAGAAATCAATCATCTTTGTATGAGGAGTTTCTTGTTTTTTCTTTTCTTTAAATTATCGACTGAAATTAAGTTATAAGGTAATATGAACTGCAGAAATTGTCTATTTTTAGATTTCATTCAGTCTCAAGATATAGATATCATAGATTTCAAGTTAGAATATTGCTCCAGATGTCAAAGAGATATACCTGAAAAACAGAGATGTATTTGCTATGACTTCTAACTTAATGAATATTCTTCACGGCATTAAATGAGTCTGCTGACTTCATTTGATTTTTTCTGTTGTAATTATATGTATTAATTTTTATTCTCATGCAGGATTGATTGATATGAGTGCATGGATTGAGCGTCGAAAATAACGAATAATGTCCTTAAAATAAGTCAACGATTACCAATACTTTATTATGACTATTTTCTCAGTCGAATTACATCTACTTCCAGCTCCATATGGAATCTTCGCACGAAGTTGCGTGGCTATGGCCAAAGACTCCAAGAGCACATTCCAAATAATCGACGATGAAGGGTAGGTACCACTGAAGAGAAGATTTGGTAAATATCTGGTGCAATTCCACCACCTCTGACTTCGATGATATTTGGTCAAATTCCTGGCCTTAAGCCGACTGATCATGCATTTGATTACTGGAATTGAGGGAAAAGAATATTTTTTGACTTGCCCTTAATTGCAACAGCTTTTCGCGTTACCCGGAGCCTTGATGAAAACGTAAATATCATCATTGGGTAAACACTCCCAGAAGAGAACTAGATCAATTGGACGAATTCATTCAGTACTCTGACTGAGTCGAGGTTTTGGCAAAGCTAAAATCAACATTGATCAAGAATTGATAACTGGCTACTTTCTCGAATACATGAAGCTTTTTTTTTTCAATTCAAAACCGCAAATTTCTGACTTCACTAGATGCCCAGTGGACCCGTCAATCTTCCCAAGTTTTACTCCAGATGGCAACGCACTTCAGTCCATTTACGAGGCTTTCCGATTCACTGAGTCCTACGGTGTAATATTCCAGTGCAACGTCAAGTACTGTCTCGGTCCCTGTGAGCCGGTATGCTATTACCACTTCAATTTTTTCCTCGAATTTCAATAAATCTTAGCAACTTATACGCTTGAGTACTGTTTTCTATATTTATTTTAGGCTGTTTGTGAATGGGGTCGTGAAGCAACGGAATCTTGGGGAAAAAGGAAACGACGAGGCATTTCGAATAACACTGAGCAAAAATCGGAAGATATGACATTGTCGCAGGAGATTCTAGTATTAGATTTTGGTGATGAAAAACAGTCGGAGTTTCTTAAAAGTGATTCCAGCGTTGATTTCAATGAATCTGGTAAGTAATCGAACTTCCACTATCTCTTGTAATGTAATATTATGATGCGCAACTTGACTATCCTTTCACCGTTAATAATGAGACATTCTTCTGGGAATTTGTAAGTGGAAAATTTGCAATTATTTTTACTTGTTGATTCTTCAAAAAGAGATATGTATACTCAAAAACGGGAACAGAATATGATTCGCGAAAAAGTTGATTTTATCGCAGACACTGGACAGAAGCATTACCTTCTACTCCCGCAATCACTAACTAGCCTCAATAAGTTCAATACTACCGTTATAAATATCTAATCCAAATTTTGCCGTTCTAGGTTAGATATCGGGTATTTACTTTTCCGCGACAGTGAATCGATCGCGCTTACGTTCTCTTAGTTTTTACTTCCGCGAATTACTCTTGAGGAACACAATATTGCAAGTCAAGATACGTAAATATAATAATAATATTCAGATTCAAAGGATACGGCAGGTACGCATATTTGGACTGAGGTATTGTGAACTTGTGGTTAGGTAACTCAAGTAAAACATTAAATGGCGAAGTGTATACAATCATGCTATCGAGAATGCGAATGCAATTGGATGAATCAATAAGTTCAGTGAAAATGGATTCACTTGAATGGGTGGGATGCAAATGGTAGACTAATGATATCCTAGCTCCATGCCATCGAAGGCACGGAGGTCCCTAAATAGTTGAGTATTTCTCATTGAGCATTAACTAGATGAGCAAACTCCAATGGGTTGACCAAGATTGTCGGTACAACTTAGGGAACAGAATTGCTGCAAAGAATGCGCAGTTCCTTCTTAACATCGACACTCTATCAAGTATAATCACCGGGACATCAATTCGTGTCATGCTCAGAAGCGCTCCTTTCCGAAAGTTTAACCTGCCATTTCATGGGTGCAATGCTCGATTTAACCAACAATATCGTCGACATAGTGGTAGGCATATTGTGCATGTCTTAAAAGAGAGTCTCATTTGAAAATCCTACGATCTCGAAAACAACTACAATAGCTATTATTGCCTGGTAAACTTGAATTTTAGGACAGTTTTTGGACACTACGTTGCGCTATTCCCAGGTGGAGATTAACCATTGGACCGAGCTTGGCCCAAGCTCGGACCAAGACTAACCTAGCTTGGCTCAAGCTTGGAATTCAAGATTGTACCAACCTTGGTTATTCCTTGGTTTGTAACGCTAGTTCAAGCTTGGACGTCGAGCTCGATCCAAGGTTGAGCCAAGATGCTGAAATGAAGGTAGTCCAGGCCTGGGCAAAACTTGGACCAACCTTGATTCAAACTTGAACGTAAAATCCAAGCCGAGCCTGAGATCCAATCCTTAACCAATCCTTCAACTTACCTAGCAATTATTGATTAAAATGGAGGCAAAAAGGAAATAATTCGTTTTTTTTTATCGTAGATACAAGTTAATTTTTCCTGTATTTATCATTCCCTGATAAATTGGTCTCTGAAAAAACCTAATTAATTAAATTAAAAATTGACCGCCGCAACCGAGATTCGAACGCATGACCCTAACATTATGAAACCTACGCCTTTTACCACTGAGCTAACATTTACATTACAAAACGTGTATTGATCTTAATTTACAATATGTACAGTAATTACATCTGCTTATTATGTCTATGACTAGGCCACCAGCCCTGAGGCTTTATACCTAAATTAAACCTAAAAGTTGGTACAGAATTGATATTTTACATAATGGGTATTGATGGCGTAAGAGATTTACAATAGGGAAAAATACAAAATAAAGAAAAAACCCTATAAGTTGGGGGTGGTTGTTAGGGATGTGGTAGGGATGGAGAAGGACTACAGGAGAGGTGGGGATGGGAAATTATCTCGACCATTTGGATTTTAGATCGATGTTGATTTTATGTAGTTCCTTGTTTGGATGGTTTTTTAAACTATAATTGAACTTATCGGTTAATGAAAGAATATATTCATGGATTGAGTTGATATTAAGGTTATTGCGAATGATAGAGATGCGAGTTTTAATGGAGAAATTACCAATTATCCTAAGGAATTTGTTTTGGGTAATTTGGAGCTGTGAAATGTGCGAGATAGCCGCATTATGCCAGATTGAGCAACCATACGTGATTACGGGTCTGATAAGCAGTTTAAATAAGGTTAATTTAATTTTGATACTAAGGGAGTTTGATTTAAAGAGCCAGTATAGGCGTGCTAGAATAGCTTTGGCTTTCGAATTTAACTGGTTTATGTGATGGCTCCAGAGTTGTTTGGAGTCAATCCACAGGCCTAGATATTTGATGTGTTTTTTTGGTGAGATTTCTACAATTCTAATTTTTACGGTGATTTTTGGAGGTTTACTAAGACTAAAGAAAATCGGCTCTATTTTGGCTTCGTTTACATTAATTTTCCATTTGTTGAGTTCCTTAATGATTAGGGACGAGCCGTTTTCTAATCTGTGTACTGCTTTTTCCAAGGATTGGCTAGAAGTAAAAATTGCTAGGTCGTCTGTAAAACCAGCTAAATTTACGTTTGTAGGGCAACGATTGAAGATTGAAGCGATATAAACATTAAAAAGTGTTGGAGACAGGATTGAACCTTGAGGGACTCCAGCTAATCTGGCTTGTGGTGACGAAAGGGAGGAGTTCACTCTAACCTGTATAAATCTATTTTGTAAGAATGAGAAAATTAGAGTAGCTAATTCAGACTCGATGTTGTAAGAGAGGAGTTTGTGAACTCGTCCCTCCGGCCACACTGAGTCGAAGGCTTGTTCGCTGTCGAGAAGCAGAACAGCAGTAGATTCTTTATTTATGCTGGCTGTTTTGATATGGTTAGTAAGTCTAGCCAGTTGATGGGTGGTGGAGTGGTGGGCTCTGAAGCCAAATTGATTTGAGGGGATGATTTGGAGATTGTGGATGGATTTGGAGAGTCTCAAGAGAATGAGTTTCTCAAAGACTTTGCCAAGGTTAGGGAGGAGGCTAACAGGCCTGTAGCTGACGGGTAAGAAGGGAGATTTGCCTGGTTTGAGGATGGGGATTACGACCGCTCGTTTCCAACTGTCAGGAAAATAGCGGAGAAGAAGACATGCATTATAAATTTTTGATAGGAATACTATAGCTTTTTTGGGGAGATTTTTAATTACAATGTTGGGAATTTGATCGATGCCAGGGGCTGACTTATTTTTTAGTTTGATTATGATTTTACCAACTTCCCTGGGAGATGTGAGAGGTACCGAGGAGGTAGATTGATTAAGAGAAATCTTTTTATTAACTGACGCCGTAATGTGTTGATTGAAAGAGGGATTTCCTCTCTCAGAGGCTAACAGATGAATACTGGCATAGTGAGAGCAAAGGGAGTTAGCCTTTTCGGTATCTTCCGATATTATTTTGTTCTTGATGTTAAAATTTGGTATATTAAGTTTAGGGGTGTTATTGAAGTTTTTCGCAATTCTCCAAATTGAGTGATCCCTTGGAGTGATGTTCTTGAGTTCGTTGTCCCAACTATCTTGTTTCCACTCATTAATTTTTAGCTGCACATCTTTAGTTAGCGTGTTGAGATACGATTTTAGAAGGAGGTTGTTTTTGTTTTTCTGCCAGTAATTTCTCACTTTGTTTGTTTGCTGAATTAATTTGATGATATGATCTGGTAGAGGGGTTACTTTACGGTGTAACGGAAAAGTAGGGGTATTTAATTGATAAGCCTCAACTACCACGTCTGAAAAGGACTTAATATTATCATCAATTTGTTTAGTATTATTAACTAAAGGGTTAGCTGCAGATAACGCATTGTTTAGGAAGTTACAAAAGTTTTCCCAATTTGTTTTTTTAAAGTTAAATCTTTTGGATTGGGAGACAGTTTGGGTTGATCCATATATGGAGAAAAATAGAGGGAGGTGGTCTGATGGTGACTCATGCAAGACTTGGAATAGTATATTGCTCACCTAGGGAGGAAAAGTAGACAAGTCCTTCCCACGTGCAAAATTACCACCCGAGCCGAAGGCAAGGGTGGTATGCACGTGGGAAATGCTTGTCTACTTTTCCTCCCGAGGGTTGCATACGATTTTTCTGTCGATATGCGGCGAAAGTGACGTTTCTAACCCAACGAAGTGAGGTTAGAATGCTCACTTTCGGCGCATGTAGGCAGAAAATTATTTTTCACTATCCTTACACCGAAAGTTCGAACTTTCGCCCCCTGGTGACGCTCTCGAAAGTACGAGATTTTTAACCTGTCGCGATGAGGGAAGAAAATACGCTGAGCGGGCAGAAAGTGAGAAACAAGCCACGAAAGAAGCCTACGCGTAGATGGAATGGTGTGTGGCGGTTGTTTCTCGCCGCGGAGGCATACACTCAAATCTGCACGTTTTCCAACCTCTATTTTCTTTGGGCATTGACGGTTGATCCATATTTCGTGCATCAATAATAAAATCGTTTCAATTTGTTCAACCCAATTTATCACAGGCACAATTATAAAATGGAATCATCTGATGATTCATGTGACAGTGAAAGTGATTATGAGGAAGAATCAACAAGGAATATTAATGGAGAAGCCCAAGATATCACGGAGAATCTACTGCCAACAAAATCATGCTTGAGATACAAGCTTTGTTATAATAAATTTATTAAATGGGCGAAACAAAATCAGAGTGAAGAATTTACAGAGAATGCATTTCTTGTATATTTTCATGACCAATCGAAAAAACTAAAAGCTTCAACTCTCTGGAGTGAATGGTCAATGCTAAAAAGTGTGTTGGATCTGTCTCACAATATTAACCTCAAAACTTTTCAAAAACTCGGAGCTTTCCTGAAAAAACAATCCAAGGGATATAGACCAAAAAAATCCCAAATTTTTTTGTGGGATCATATAAAAACGTTCCTTCAGGATGCACCAGACTCAGTGTACCTCGCAATGAAGGTAAACATGAAAAATAATTCTGCAATTCATTCATATTTACAATTCCATTCTTTAATCGTGAAATTGCTTATATGGGAATTTTACATTTTTTTTTTAGTGAAATGTAATAAAATTCTGGAAAAACTGAAGTGTTGAATAATGGATTCTGACGATCGATTATTTATCCTCGTCTTCTATTAGACCTCTTAATTTATTCCATTTTAGTCGCATTCCATTTTATCGTGTGTCCCATTTGCCAACGTCTTCTCAACTTCTATTTTTTTAATTTTATAAAATCCTACAGAAAAATCCTTACTCTACAGGTGATTCTCATTTTTGGCGTATGTGGAGCATTACGAACTATTGAATTTTGCAACATCCAGACCTCAGACATTGAAGACACAGGAACTAAATACATCGTGAACATTCCCGAGACGAAGACTTACAATCCAAGAACTTTCGTTATTGGTCTGCCAATGTACAATGTAGTCCATCTGTACGCAGCTCTGAGGCCAGATGGATTGTCGACGAACAGATTTTTTTTGACTTATCAAAATGGAATGTGTAGACGACAGGTTATTGGTAAAAATAAATTTTTGGGCACGCCAAAAGCTATCGCACTTTTCCTAAAATTGTCAGATCCTGAAAAGTTCACAGGACACTCTTTCCGCCGGACGTCCGCCACTTTACTTGCAAACACGGAACCTAATGTCACAATTTTAATGCAACACGGTGGTTGGACGTCGGAAAAGGTTGCACGAGGTTACTGCGAAAGTTCATTGCAAAGTAAAGAACGAATGTTCCATAAAATCGCCACAGAAAATGAGTCAATCACAACTAAAAATCCTCATCCAATGTCAAGCACCTCAACAAAAAATTTAAATCGTGGAACATCGGATTATCCACCTGAAACTGAAAATCCTCGCTCTCTGCTCAGAATGTCGACAAATCACTCAAGACCTGAATGTTCATATCGTATGAAGAAAAACTCTCACTCTGCTGTTTCACCGGAACTGAATGCAAATTTTCAATCAGCATCGACTAGTAATTTTGACACATCCTTTGAAAATTTGAACTCAACGTTGGAAAATGATTCTGATGACGAAGTGCTGCAAAATTTCAATTCAGCATTCTTAAACAATAATAACCCAGAAATAGCATCCTCGAGCACAGATGGTGCAAACATCAACACTTCATCTTCTAGAAAACCCCTCGCATCGATGGATAACTTAATAAGACCAGCTTCATTTCCAGTACATTTGAACTCACATAGTTCATCTTTGAAGAGACTAGTTCCAGCATATGGGAATTTGCCTACTGGACAACCATCCAAACAACAAAAACGGAGCGAGTCGCGAAGAGAATCAACGAACAGAGAAGAGACTGATAAAAGAAATATTGAGCACCGTACCTTGGATAATCCTATTATCACAATGAACCATTGCACGATCAATAATTTGATAATAAAAAATTATTATTATAATTCTCAAAATATGTAACAAAAAACTGTGTAATTCTAATACGATTATTATGTTTGTATTCTTTAAAACTAGTCGAAATAAATAAATACCTAATAAAGAATAATTTAAATTTGATTGTAGTTCTTAGCGTTATTTTAATTCTTATTTTTGCAGTCAACACAAATTCTATACATTTGTGAAAAAAAATATAGATTTTTTTTAATTTATAAAATTCATTATTTGCAATTTTATGTAAGAGTTTTTTTACGGAAATTTAAATATCTGAGGAAAGGGATGAAAACTTAGATATTTTAACTACTTGAAAGAAGGAATTCTTTAAATATCAATTTCTCTCACATTGCATGGCGCGGCTTTCCACAAAGTAGTTAGAGAGTGGGGGAAAAGTAGTGCGCCCCAAAAAACTCCTAACCTCTCCTTCTAATATATTATTTTCTGTATTTCTACATGAATTTGTTACGAACTTTCGGTGCGAAGATATAGTGAAAAATAGTATGCAATACACAGGCCGGAAGTTGAGCATATAATCTCGCATGCGTTTGCCGTTTGTGATGATATGCGCAACTTTCGCCCCTTGTATAGCAATATACTATATTAAATGAGCTACGTTAGTGATCAGAAGGTCTATTGTTGATGGATTATTTGCGTTGTAAGGATAGTGGGTGGGTTCACTCGGTGCCTTAAGGATAAGGTTTGAGGGAGAGATAAGATTTAGGAGGATTTTACCTGAATTATTTGGTTCACCAGGAGTCCAGGAAGGATCCTTGGCGTTGAAGTCCCCTGCCACTATTGTTGAGCGGCCTGTCATGAATAGGGATTTCAGCAAATCAGAGTCTAAATTGATATCTGGCGGGTTGTAAATAGAATACAGGTGTATAGCCTTGTTATTAACAAAGATTTCCACCCCTATGTATTCTGTTTTGGAAATTTTTTCATGCCGGAGAGGGATGGATCTGATAGAGGAGTGAACTGCTATGGCCACCCCACCACCCGCCCTGACCGCCCTGTCCTCTCTATAAAAATTGAAATTTGGTAGATATGACTTTTTAACATGAGTGGCTAGTTTAGTTTCCGAAAGTAGAATGACTTGAACATTATGATTCGAGATTATATGAGATAACTCAGGCGACTTCGTTTTCAGAGAATTAATATTAATAGCGATAATATTTATTGATTTTAAAGTCATCATGATGCTTCATCAGAGAAAATATCCGAGTAAGAAGCAATGATCGAGAGACGATCAATGGGGGATTTTGTAGATTTCAGAAGCCTGACCATATCTTTTAACTGATTTAACATTTGAAAAATATTAAGACGCATTAACTCTCTGATAACGAACGTCGCGTCATCTGTACATTTCTTGATGGTACTTATATCGTTATTGATGGAGGATATCATCTCATGTTGTTCGTATGTTGTGGAGGCGGCTTCAGGGTTCGGTGGGGGTTGAGGTCGTCGTTCCAAGATCGTTTGGGATGAGGGATCAAGAAAGAAGTCCAACGGAGAGGAGAACGGAGTCTCATTGGTCCTAGTGGAATCTCTCAGCGTGGGGGTTTTTAGTTCCTTTAGAGTGTTTAGGTTCCTTTGGGTGGCCTCAGCGTACGTGATAGGGTTGGTATTAGGTTTTGATGATGAACTGGTAGACCGTGGCTGGTCTGTCAGTGCCAGGAGGTTAGGATCGCCTCTACCCTTTCTCATTGTGGACGTTTCAATGTACTTGGTGCGTGTTGGACATTGTCTGTAGCTGGCCACATGGTTTTGGCTGCAGTTTATACAGTTGATGGTCTCGCTAATACAGTTTTTGAGTCATGAGGTTCACCACATTTGACACATCTTGGGTTGCGGTTACAATGCGTGCTGGCATGGCCAAACGCTTGACATTTGAAACATTGAATAGGTTGTCCATCAGGTTTGAATTTTTCAACTGTAAAGGTGTGATGCAGTAAGGTTCTCACTTTGTTGAAGTTTGCCAATGAGGTTGAGGGGTCAGCTGTCACTGAGAAAATAGGCAGCTTAATGGATGTAGGGGGGTCTTTGACCTTCTTAATGAATTGCCGAACTGCAATGACAGGAATGTCATTGAGCTTCAATTCCGTTAGTATGTCCTGTTCGCTGAAGCAGGATGGAAGACCTTTTATTATGAATTTCTTGGGTTTATCCTGCTTAAATCCATAAATGTAAAATTTAAGGTCTCTGCTGGCTAAGATTTCTGTGACTGCTGAGTGGTCGGCTCTCGACTTGGGGTGGATGGCCGAGGTTTTCCTTTGAAATTTTATTTTGAATTCCTTGTTTTTGACGACTTCTTTGATTGATTTAATCAATTCCATAATATCAATGTTGATATTTTCAATAATTATTGACGGAGTGGGATCAGTGACTTGGTTGTCCGTTACAGAGCTGTCATTACCCTTCAATTTAACAGGTGGCGAGGCGTTTGGAGTAGCCAGTGCTTCAACGGTTTTGTTTTTCTTAGCCATTTTTTTTGGCGGGCTCATGGTGAATCTTCTCTTGTTCGAGTTCAGAAGGGTTTTGTTGGGGGGTGTTGACACCCTTAAATTCACTTCAAATTTGTTAAATTGGGCAGCGCGGGGTGTGAATTTTGAAAGTAGAGTAAAGGTTTTGTGAGGTTTGAAAGGCGAGGAGGAGCGTGTTCAAAGACGTGTGCTGCCTCGACGGTTTCCAGACCAAGACTGACTGAGCTACCACGCACTTATAACTTGTAATTTTTAATTGTGCATATAAACTCAGTGTTAACTTTATAGAAATACTGTTGTTGAATAACGGTCTATTTATTTAATGTAACTAACATCAGTAACTATTTACTTAATTTACATTATTCATTGACATAAGTTACTTTTTCTCGAAGCCCCCCCCCCCTCCCTCGCCTCCCTTCTTCTTCTTCTTCTTCTTCTTCTTCTTCTTCTTCTTCTTCTTCTTCTTCTTCTTCTTCTTCTTCTTCTTCTTCTTCTTCTTCTTCTTCTTCT